AACTAACTAACTAACTAAATAAATAAAATATTAAAACTTTTCACTTTTCTCAAAACAAAAAAACAGTTGATATTTCAGTGCTGCCGTTGTACCTTTTGAATGCTTTTCAAAACCATTTGTTCGTGTCTTATTCATAGTTGGGTTTATAGCAGCTGCCATGTTGACTCATGTTATCCAAACCTGAATTTATAAAGAAGATGCTGTTACGTCGATACACGTAACAGATATTCTGAAATTCATCTTATTAATATGCATTCGGTTTAGTGGTGCATCAAAGAGTCTGATAATAGAACGAACTGTCAAATTCAACAACCAACCAATCAACTTCACTGGTAGTTTCTTCCACTTGTTGGAACTGAGCAAAATGGTCTTCACTAGTCATAACTACAAGACCCCTTGGGTCAACTTGCCAACCAATCAGCACTCACAGTTGTGCAGTGCTGGTACCGTACCCTCCTTTAAACTCTTTTATTTCTATAGGAAAATAGAAAGATCTTTTAATTTTTTATATGATACTCTGAGAGTTACGTGTGACTTTGAACAGAAGTATTGAGATGGGTTCACAACGAACGGACTGCGCAGAGTTCCAGTGCTACTCTTCATTTATTGACGTTACATTCTCATGAAGAGTTAAAAACAAAAGTGCAGCCTAGTGACTCTGTTGACTCCCCAGTAAACCTCTGGCAGTCACTTGAGCAGTAAAGCTTTGCTTCAGCTGTAGTCTACAGGTCTTGGGCTGCAAAGCCACAAAGACATGATACACTATTCAGCCTTCTTAGATAAATCAGCTGATGTCCCCTCTACACTCCATTACCATGCTTTTAAATCATTATCTAAATCTTTATCTAAATTATTATCAATCACCCTAAATTGGGCCTGGACTAATCCAATGTTAAAAGAGACTAACTGCATAAGTTACAGTTCTACAGTAAACTTATTGTCATAGTTCTCTACATGGCCATTTACTATTCATATTCTCAGTGGTAAGTATTATTAAGCTAGCTTAAATCTTATTGCATTTCTTAGCAATTGTAAAAAACTGCAATTGGCTTCAAGGCTTCATTGGCATGATTGTCTTATCTTTCTCACCTTACAATGTCATGGTTAATTTGGTCAAAACTATAAACTATGAGCCCAAATTTCACATAGAAATGACCTGTGAAAATAAAGAATAGCTAGAGGCCACTTTATGAACTTCAACTTTTGAGGTCTACTTTATAAACCTCATAAAAATCAAATGCAGGGTATGAAAAATTACTGACATGGGATCAAAAGTAGGCCTTTGGAACATAGTGAGCTCAGAATCTTAATAAGCAATATGCCCACCTCTTCAAGTAATATTTCACCAGTTGACAGCTAAACTTCATATCAGTAGTTCAGATATGAAAAGTGTATTTGGCTTTTCTAACAGAACAGGAAAGTTGCAATGTTATCAAAAGGTTTTACACAACTGCATAAAGCTGTCAGTGCTCTCTCATGCTTGTGCCCTACTCCCTGCCAAGGCTACGCCGTCCACAGTGAAAACTCAGGAGCCATTCACACACTAATAATGTGAACAGATACACCAGGAGCAACAACTGAGCTGTGCTGCCATCTGTCTCTACCTGTTAATTTAGCATTAACCTAGCCCATTATATCGTACTTCTACCTTTAGTCATGACATACTGAGCACTGTATTAAGAGCTGACAGATTCTGTAGAAGTAATTTACAATTGTTCAGTCTGTGTCTTCAGACGTTAAATGAAGATGTGACTTTGTTTTATGTGTTTGCTGCCAGCTTTGTTTTATGTGTTTATGTGTCAGCTGACATAAATAACATGCACTGAGGGGTAGCTTTTTGCTGCCAGTTTTTAATTCATAATAATAATAATAATAATAACAAAAAAAGACACCTTAGGAGCAGAGAGTCCATCAGTTGGTCCTTCAGTTCTTTATTTAGGACCCTTAACATCCGACACTAACATGCCAAAGTGATTGCATTACAGAATCATTCATCAGCCAAATAATACCTGCTCAGGGGTGGGCCTGCTCAGGGGTGGGCCTACTAACCATTGATTAACACAATGGGGGGGGGACTGCATCTATACAGTAAGTGGACAATGTCTAAGTAAAAAAAAAAAGTTAACTCATCTTCTACAGAAAACACACGGCTGTACATTTTAATGTACAATTATTGTTCGGATTTAACAAACTGTGACAAAAAAATAAAAGGTATCATGTGGTACATGGCACATTTAGTATTTTAAGTTTTTTTCCCCCAATATGTGAAATTCAAAAATGTTTAATGTATACACATTATATACATGTATATAGTCAGAAGTTTGGACTCCCCTCCTCTCTCACAGTTGCCCTCCCTCCGCCTCTTAGAGCTGAGCTGTGCTGGGAGAAGCTCCCGTTCAGTGTGTGGCATGAAGAGTTAAAAGGCCTATAAAGTCACCGCCTGCCGATGTGCACATATCAGGAGAACATTTTTCACATGTTAATCAAGATGTAAAACTGACACGAACACACTGAAATGGACCGTTTTGTATGCACCAGCGTTCAAACACTTGGAATCATGTCAAAAGTTCACTGATTTCAGTTAAAAAACAGATGCAGATAAATGTTTTAAATGACTGTATTATGATGCTGCTACTCTACAACTTCAAAAAAACAGACTTTAACTAATTAGTGAGAAGCAGTGAAAACAGAAGAAATGTTAGATGTATTCAGTTTTTTTGCATTCCCAAAAGAACTGAAATATTAAATAAAACATCTTAAAATATGTTCGTGTGTCTGGCTTGAAATATTTTGATCTATTCTGTTTAATCAAATAACAGCAGTTTTTAATATGACAAGCAATTCCAAGTATGATATGAATGTAATACACCCCCCCCCCACACACACACACACAGTCAAAAGCTCATTGGTTAATTTTATTCTTTTCTACATTGTAGATTAATATTGAAGACATCAAAACTATGAAGGAACACATATGGAATTATGTAGTAAATAAAAAAAGTGTTAAACAAACCAGAATGTTTTATACTTTAGATTCTTCAAAGGCGCCACCTTTTGCTTTGATGACAGCTTTGCACACTCTTGGCATTCTCTCCATCAGCTTCATGAGTCAGTCACCTGGAATGGTTTTCCAACAGTCTTGAAGGAGTTCCCAGAGCTGCTGAGCACTTGTTGGCTGCTTTTTCTTCACTCTGCAGTCCAACTCATCCCAAACCATCTTATTTGGGTTTAGGTCAGCACTCCATCACTCTCCTTCTTGGTCAAATAGCCCTTACATAGCCTGGAAGTGTGTTTGGTGTCACTGTCCTGTTGAATGAATGATGGTCCCACTAAGTGCAAACCAGATAGAATGGCATGTCACTGCAGAACGCTGTGGTAGCCATGCTGGTTAAGTGTGCCTTGAATTTTTAATAAATCACCAACAGCGTCACCAGCAAAGCACCCCAACACCATGACCTCCTCCTCCATGCTTCACAGTGGGAACCACACATGTGGAAACCATCCGCTCACCTTTTCTGCGTCTCACAAAGACATGGCGAGTGGAACCAAAAATCTCAAATTTCGACTCATCAGACCAAACGACAGATTTCCACTGGTCTAATGTTCATTCCTTGTGTTTCTTGGTCCAAGCAAATCTCATCTTCTTGTTGTTCTTTCTCAGTAGTGGCTCCTTTGCAGCAATTCGACCATGAAGGCCTGATTAATGCAGTCTCCACTGAACAGTTGATGTTGAGATGTGTCTGCTACTTGAACTCTATGACGCATTTATGTGCGCTCTAATCTAAGTTGCTGTTAATTTGTGGTTTCTGAGGCTGGTAACTGTAATGAACTTATCCACTGCAGCAGAGGTAACTCTTGGTCTTCCTTTCCTGGGGTGGTCTTCATGAGAGCCAGTTTCATCATAGCGTTTGATGGTTTTCGTGACGGCACTTGAGGATACATTCAAAGTTCTTGCAATTCTCCAGATTGACTGACCTTCATGTCTTAAAGAAATGATGGACTGTCATTTCTCTTTACTTAGTTGAGAGGTTCTTGTCATAATATATATTAGAAAAGTAGCCAAGTAGGGCTATTCACTGTATAGAACTGTGTACCCACCCTACTACCGCACCACATGACTGATGGTCTCAAACACATAAGGAAGGCAAGCAATTCCACAATTTAACTCTTGACGAGGCACACCTGTTCATTGAAAACCATTCAAGGTGACTTCCTCATGAAGCTGATTGAGAGAATGCCAAGAGTGTGCAAAGCTGTCATCAAAGCTAAAGATGGTTACTTTGAAAAATCTGAAGTAGAATCTGAATCTGTATGTAGAAAATAATAATAAAAAAAAACACTGAACAAGAAGGTTTGTCTTATATAGACACCAGAACATATTTTAAGATGTAAGATGTTTTATTTAATAATTCAGTTCTTTTGGGAATGCCAAAAAAGTTATTAAACGTTAAATAATGCGGAAAAATAATTATTATTTTTATTTTTATGTATAAATTAAGTTATCTGGCTTTCAGGCATTCTGGATATTAATACTTCTAACATTTCTTCTGTTTTCACTGCTTCTTACTAATTAAGAATACTTAGAAAAACACACATCTCTCTCTCTCTCTCTCTCTCTCTCTAACTTTGTTGCTCTGTTCATCCTGCTGAACACATCTAACATTTCTTCTGTTTTCACTGCTTCTCACTAATTAGTTCCAGTCTGTGAAGTTGTAGACCAGCAGCATCATAATACAGTCATGTAATACATTTATCTGCATCCTGTTTTTAGTTGAAATCAGTGATCCCAAACTTTTGAATCGTCATTCCAAGTGTTTGAACGCTCCTGCATACAGAACGGCTCGTTTCCGTGTGTACGTGTCAGTTTTGCATCTTGATTAACACGTTAAAAATGTTCTCCTGCACATCAGCAGACTTCACAGGCCTTTAACCCTTCACACCACACACCGAACTGGAGCTTCTCCGGCACAGCTCAGCACTCAGAGGCGGAGGGAGGGAGGGCGGGCAGCTGTGAGAGGGGAGGGGAGAGAAGAAGTTGGACTAGGAGAAGTGCTGGTCTATAACTTTCCCCTTCCCCCCTGAAGACGACTCGGGGAAAGTTTTGGAAGAGCAAATTGTGGATTACTCAAGAACTCAGACTGGGATTCTGGACGGATGGGCTTTTGATTTGGATTCATGTTGTGGTGATTGAGAGGAACTATCGTTGCTTATAGGTATGAACGCACTGTTTACATCACTGCACGGCTGGAAAGCTTTACTGTGCGCTTTTACCTGCGCGAGGAGGCAGGACTGTCTTTACCGTGTAGCGCTAACCGGCAGACTTTTCCTTCTGTTGACCTGGACTTTCTGATCCTTGCATCCCAATTTCCTGTAATTTGGAGCAGAAATATGGGTTATCCTTCAGTTACAGCCATATTATGCAGTACTGGCGTCACAGGTGTTGCTTCAGCAAACATTGAGTTCACTGAAACAGCCCTTCAGCAGTGAGACTAAGGGTTTTTCAGCTCTCTGTGTGATTATCCGTGTCATTAGGCGCCTTATTCTGATCAAACTTAGATAACTTGTTGCTCACAGTCGCGCCCTCCAGTGGCGAAATGCGATACGGCACCGAGACAGCGCTATAGAGCAACTTCTATACAGCCTATTGAAATGCATGATACGTAAATGAATAAATAAGTAAGAAACAGAGCGATGTGTTTGTGGTTGTTGTCCTCTGGTGAGGTTCTTTGAAAGATGACCTAGACTCTGCCCCTGTCCTTCGCCTCCTGGCAAAACCATTTTCAGCACATATTATGCCTCAGGGTGAATCTGTTCATAGGCTTATTCCTGATATATGACTTTTCCCCCCGGTGTGGTGTGGGGGTCACTAAGGTAATGGAGGAAACATGCCCTGCTCTTAACGACTCCACCATCCATCCGCTGGAAAAGGTAATGAGGCTTAGTACAGACTTAAAGGAACGGTTCACTATTTTTTAAAACAATATTCACAATTTTCCCCTTACCCCAAACATAGTCAATTGGCCAAGACATTGGTGTCTGAAGTTTGCATGTTTGATTTTGTGCTGAAGCAGTGAGGCTAATGTAGCTAACATATAATAGAAGTCTATAGTCACCCAAAAGAGTCTTCTAGCTTTGTTACTTCTGTGTAAACCTAAAGAAGCCACCAAACATGGCTTAGCCATAGAGGTGGGCGATATGGCAGATACACAATACTGTTACATTACTTCAAGACATTTTCATGATACACTATATGCATCATGATATTTAGTTTTTCTGAAGTTTGAAAAGTGCGAAAAGACAAAAAAAGTAGCCACTAGTGCCACATTTGAAAAATGCTGTCAGAAGCAAATTAATTCAATGACTTTCATTCAATGTTAGACATACCGCACTGCCCTAACTCCAGTTTTCCAGGCTCACTATGAAACTATAAATGCAGTTGATTGGTGTTCTTTAAAGCTGCAGTATGTAAGATTGTTTGACGAAATTGGAAGAAGTAGCATTACTGAGTCAGGAGGAAAAGCATGCTAAAATGTGGTGAGTCATCCCGTAAAGTCTGAATAAATGATATTAAAAATCAGAGGTCAGACTTTGGGGGGGTTGAGTTAAGCTCAGGGAAGGGGTCAAAAGCATGGCCAACGTCACAAAATGGTCTACCGCACCTTGCGTGCAGTTACACATTTCCATCAGAGAGGAGATGGAAACAAAGAAGCTTTATGTGTTACAATAACCATCAATACCATCAGAGTGCGTACCCTTACTTGGCCAGTCATCTACGTGTGGGGTAAGGTGAAACCTTCCTTTAAGCAGAAGCTCCTCAGTTCTAGCTTTTGGTGGAAATAGGAAGATGGAACAGTTAAAATGCTCACCAAGTCAGGATTTCTAGGTCTAGTCTTGATGAATGAGACAGAATGTCTAAAGCATTTCACTGTCTTTGCACTCACATTTGATAGACATGCTAACAAAACAGAGTTCCTTTGAAAGTCGACACAGGGTAATAGTTGCATGAGTTACCTTTATGTTGCATAGAAGCAGTTTTCTCGAATCAAATACCTGACGGTGCCTGACTTTTATACTTGCATGTCATCCACGGTTAAAGGTATTTTTTGTGGTCCTTGTCTCCAGGTTTGTCAGGCATGCATTTTATATGTGGAAAGTGTCTACGATAGAAGGAATACAGCACTTTAAAGCCAACGTGCAGCGGGTGCGCTGTTGGGTCTCGCAGAGTGCATCATTGCCTTTAGCCTCAACAGGAAAAGGTGTTTCTTCAATGCTGTGAACCTTCAGTTAAACTGCTGCATGTCTCCAGTTAAAGAACAGATAAAGCCCACACATCCAGATAATGATGATTCTAAAAATACATTTAATTGTGGAATACTTGTGTAGGCGTGAAGCCAGATGCCGTCAAATAAATGGGAGATATGAATGGAACAATAATGTAGTCTCAGTGCAAAATGGAGCCTCCTCATGCAGCCAAGGCTGAAGTGACGTGTCCCTGGAAATGAAAAAGGGCTGCTTCACATTCACTTGCACCTCACTTGGCCTCATGCTTCGCTAGCCATACAAAAATCTGTTTTCATAGTGATTCACATGTGGATTAGATCCTCCATTTGTGACTGAGGCCTTATCTGGGTCAGTTCTCTTCCCAGGACTATTTTCATTTGCTTTCAGTTCGTGTCATAATGTCTCTGAGACTACTAGACCATTTTTACCCTCTTTTTTTCTTTTTTTCTATGAGTTCCATTTATGATGTTTGTGTGGTTTTATGTATTAAAACAGTCATAATTCATCTTTACACGACCATTTTCCACCCTCTTTTTATCCCTTAGAATTAGAGAGATGGTTCGGCAAAAAAATACATTTACACAATTTTGCACTTACCCGAAATGTAGTTGATTGGCTGAAACATGTTTGGAGTCCAAATGTTGCTTCTTTAGTTTAGGACTGGAGCAGCGAGTCTAACATTGCTAAGAAACACTAGAACTCAATAGTCACCCAAAAAGCCCAAGTTGTTTCTGTAAAATGATGTCACCAAAACTTCTCTCAACCCTGTTTTCACAGACCACTTTAAGAATAGAAGTGCTGATCTACAATCAGTACATGTGAATGACCATTGTAAGTACAGATGAATCTTCTTCAAGATCAGTCCTGCTTTGTAAATACCAGCCCTGGGTGTTCTGTGAAATGGCTGCCTGTAGCGGTGAAGTTTTGTTCTGTTTTTAAAGCTCACAGTAAGCCATAGTGTGCTCTAAACCACAGTCTGCACAACCTTAATGAACCTGGACGAAGTTTTAGGGATGTATTTTTACAGAAACGATTTGGGCTATTTGGGTGACTATTGAGCTCTAGTGTTTGGAGCCTAGTAGCTCCAGCTCTAAACTAGGGGAAGCTTGACTGACTACATCTGGGGTAAGTGGAAAATTGAGGACTTTTTTTGGCAAATTATTCCCTTAAACGTGCTGTTTTTGTTATTGTGCCTCGATAAATGACTGAATGAATATATGTAAATGAAAATGAGCTCTCCTCTGATTGGCTGCTCTGTATTGTGCCTAATTCGAAAAGCTAAAACACTTCTTTTAACTTCAGCGTGACTAGGCAGGGCTGGTGGATGTATGCAAATGTGCTGGTTTTTGTGACATCACAAAAACAGCTCTTTTAAAACAGGCTGTTTTTGCAGCTTAGTTTCATATATAGACTGCATGCTCCATAAATGGAGTGAATGATATGTTTTGAAACTTAAATGTTTGCAGACTACATCAAACTCTCTTAAAAATGAGGAAAATTTAGTTATGACATGGCCCATTAAAGATTTATTGATATTTCAGGAGTGTCTCAGTGTGTGAATAGTGAAGCTTTTGATTATGGATAAACAAGCCTTTTTCCTTTTTCTGCGGGTGCTATTCTGCTTTGCATATTCTTTTGTGCTGAAACCCATCAAAATTACAGAGCATTCAGAATAAACAGTGTGCGTGAAAGTGCTTTTTTTTGTATTTGCTCGCATTTGTCACCTGGCAACAAGTCAAGAGCGCACCGAGTGATGCTCACGCTCCAACACGAAAGCGACATGCACGGCAGGTGCATGTGACGGCCAACTCCCTGCAACAACAGAACCAATGCATGAAAAAAACACTGCAAACAGCAGCTCATTACGTCCTACCGCTTGTTTATTGATTGAACTCATTGTTGCTTTTCTCGTCTGTCTCTTTGAGGGTGCTGAATCATTGTTTTTAAAGTGGTTTCTGCGTGGAAGTGATCGTTTTTAACTGTGGGGTGGGAGCCGAATGGTCCTGCATTGTGGTGGTTGTGCATTTGGAGCCGCTGACTAGACGCCAGCGTGCCGGGCGGAGAGCCAGAGCTGTGTCTGCGAGACACTCCTCTGCTTTATCTGTGCAGACCAGCCGCATGCTCCTTTACCTCTAACATGGCAAGTAGAGTGAAGGAGAACAAAGCGGCCATGGGCTTTTATTTCAGCTCATGGAAGCGAAAGGTAATGAAGAAATGGCTTAGAGGCTCTGAATGCAGGTGATAGGCCGGAGCTGCCTTTCACCAATATAGCGGATGCTGTCTTGTTTACACGGACCAGCGCCGACTTTGAGGTGAGGAGTGGGGAGTTGGCCTATGAATAATTGAATCTGAGTGGCATATACGAACTACAAAAGCTACGAGAGCTGACGGGAGGTCACAAAGTGAGGCGTTTCTTAAGATCAACACATTGAGTTGGAATTGGAGAGGCCTGCTCTCGGCCAGCGCAGTTTGATTTGCTGCGATCGCATTAAGTAGGTAGTTGTATACCATCTCCCTCAGGCGGTATGACTTCAGTTAGAGAGATGCAGGTTAGATGTCCCTCACAGAGCTGTCCCAGGCAGGCTGAAATATACAAGAAAGCCATAAAAGCTTCGGCAAGCTATCATGCCTCAGGGTTTCGTGGCCATCCTTCATTCTGACAGGTGTGTGTTGAGACATGCTGGTGCATTAGCAGGGGTCACTTTGACTGCCAGACTGCTAGTGAATGTAAATACCAAAACATGTGCTCAGACTTTGAAGAGGAATTCCACTAGTATTTTAAATGTCTGCATTATCCAGTTGTTGAGATGAAAACAAAGACATTCAGAGTGGTTTAATGTGAAATAGTTAATTGTAGAGAAACTTACTGACTCTGGTTTCCTTTCAGTGGCACTGATTGTAACCAGCAATCACAATGTCTGCAACACAAATATAGCCATTTTATTCACTAAGTACTGTTCAACACAACCAGTGGACCTTCTAATAATACAGTGGTGAACAGGGACTGCTTGGCCTTCAATCTGAGGCAAAAATGTCACAACTTGGTCAAAGCAAGGAAAAAAAAAACAACTAGAATGTTAATTTCTGCTAGTGTCCCTATGGGATTCTATAGCTTGTAGCACTAAGCCAAAGGTGATTTGCATGGACATTTTTGAACATTTTGGATTAAACACAGACATTTGATGCTTCTAAAAGACATTCAATGTTTTAGTTGAAGCTTCTGAAAGATATATTAGCATATTTTTACCTTATAGCAGTTTCAAAGTGAGTTTTTCAGTGGAAAGGTCTGGAATAGCAAGAGCTGCCGCTGCTGTTTTCCATTTCTAATGACGCTTCGATTAGGCTTCACAGTCAGTGACCTATCCAGGACTTCCAGAAGGCTGAGAGTGATGTTTTTTTTTTTTTTCCTCACAAAATTGGTCCTGCCTATTGGAAAGCAAAATGTGATTAACTGACTCTTGTAAATTCCTAATTGTACTGATAGTTAAGCTATGCATTCAGCCTCTTCTTCAGCTCTTGAAGTCCTAACCAATAGGAGAGCTCACTTAACTGTGCCTACCTAGATACCCGACTGACATAAGAAAGCTACTGTAATACCTGCATAGTTTAAATACAAGAAAGTTTCCAGAAATCATTAGGATGTCGCTGAAGAACCCCTGAGGATTTCCCATTGACATAATGGTAAATAATTGTTAAAGTGTTTATTGGGCATTTTTGCCTTAGAACACCCTGCATTAAATGCTTTGGACATCTGGTTCCTGTGACCACCTGACTTTGTAAGTTTCTCTAGAAGAGCCTGTTTTACCTCAAGCTACTCTGAATTTTTTTTCACATGTTTTTCCCATTTAATTGTGTGGCAACTTTGAAAAATAAGTGGAATTCCCCTTTAAGAGGAGTATCGGCTTTTGGATTTGAGTTTAAAGATCCAAGATGTGAACAAAATACTATGGTTGTGATTATATTGCTGCATATTGCGATGGGGATATACCTTAGTTAATCAAAAACATGGCATGCTTAAAGATTGTACTGCATTATTTTGGACAGAATAACTTGCTTTGTTGGATTACATGATTACCTTCATTCATCCAAACACCCAGAAACTCATCTGGAACTGTGATTGTTCAGGATGCTCATGGCACACACACAAAAAAACACATAAAGGCCTTCTGCAATATCAGCATCGCAAAGGCCAGAATTGCGATAACCTTTAACGGAAAACGTGTTGTACAGCCCTAATGGACTTTTTGACTGGCATGTGGTAAACGCGTTGCTATGCTTTGAACTGATTCTGATGTATCTGTAAGACATGAGGCAAGAGGCAGATGTTGCAAGTATGTGCACATCTTTATGACATCTTTATGACCCTTTTTTTTCAGGGCAGTTTATTATTAGTTCCATGAGATTGTTATATGGTGTTTTAAACAACCATTCCATTGAAACATACACCAGGTGTTTGTGTGTGCCAGGCCTAGCTGAGATAGTCACAGAAAAGCACAGATGGACGTTGTAATGATGATCATCAAACCACATGGGTTACAAAGCTTTATTGGAAACACTATGGGCCATTAGGCCAATTTACACATTGCTAAGGGCTCATCTTAAGCTTAAACCCAATATCATTATTTCACCCTCAAATTTCCCCTTAGTAGTATCCACCGCGTGAAGCACATAGTATTAGCAGTTATGTCCTTGAACGTTGGCAGTTATTTTGCCGTAACCCAGCATGTTATCAACTTTAATCTTCCTCTTTTCTTTGATTGACTGCTACAATTAAGGTTTGTGACTGATTCCGGTGGTTTTGATCTCCTTATGCTGCCTCCAACCCTGCCTGTTTGACTTTGCAGTGTTCACCTGTGCCCTCTTTCTTTCTCTCTTAGGTAGGAGGTGAAAGGGGGAGCCATGAGGGTCATCTTGTCCTCCCTTGTGCTGCTGACCATCTGGTCAGGTCAGGGGGGTCGACTGGCATCCGCTGAAGGTGAGAGGCTCTAGTTCGAGTGATGGATCCCTCAGATACTTACTTATAAAACAGATCAATCCAGTTCTAAATAGGGATGTGAATTCCAGATAATTTTGAATTTGATCATAGTTCTTGCTCATAACACGCAAACAGGGTAAACTGGTGCTCTGGTGCAGGTTAAAAGTCAAAGGACACAAAGCACAAAGGAACATTTAACAGCAATCTGAGGTACATTTGTATAGGTTTATTATTCATGAATAGCCAAGGACAATCTTTTGGTCACTATGGGTTAAACCAGTAGTTTTTTTGTCAGGTAAGTTGTGAGTAATAGAGGCTGCCCATTGAAGTGAGTTGATGTGCTAACACTAGAGCTAATCGATTCAGCGGTAGAAAAAAGTATCCTTTCATTGTATTTTAGTTGTAGCTAAGGCAGCTAGCCAATCCAGAGGTAGATGGTGATGACTTTTGCACTTCGACACAAGTTTTTCTCTCTTCATGTTAGTTTGTTGAGCTAACTTTGGAAGAAGAAAGACCCTTTTATTATATTTTAGTTGTAGCTAAGGCAGCTAACATAATTAGCTTTGCCAACCATTTCAGTGGTTAGCGTTGCTAACTATTTCATGATATTGCACTCACATTAAAAACATTAAAGCAGACATGTTTCCTACTGGCAAAATACAATGCAATATACTGACTTAATCATAAATATGAGCAAAACTGTAATTATTAAAACTTATTAGGCATCCTGCTGAATTGCTGGCCTGTATATTTTCTCCTTGATTTTGTGTGATAAAGAGTATTGAATATTAGAATAGTATTTGAAGTGATTGATAAAGAGTTTTGAATATTAGAATAGTATTTGAAGTGATAGAGTATTGAATATTAGAATAGTATTTGAAGTGATAGAGTATTGAATATTAGAATAGTATTTGAAGTGATAAAGAGTATTGAATATTAGAAAAGTATTTGGCACATGGAACAGTTAATCCAGTGTTGCCAACTACTTTCAAAGGAAAGTAGCTAACGCCTGCTTGAAAAGATCCTAAATGTTGCTAGATGATGATGATGACATGCACTAATTAGCATACTTGTGACATCATCATGTCGCATTTGCATTCTGTCTAGTGTCAGACAGTGCCAGTCCTACATCAGGTTGCTTCTCTCCTACTCTCTGTGCTCATATATATTGTATTTTAATACAGCAGAATTCCCAGTAAAGCTGGTCTTATTTACATATTTTTTTTGTTTCTGCTGTCAGACAATGAGACAAATATAAAATAGTCACTGAAACCTGGCCATTAAGACTACAAGTTAACCGGCAGTCACTTCAAAGCTGTTTCCAAGCTGCTGCTCTGCACTGCTAAAATTCTGATTTTATAACTGCGTCGTCTGACAAAATCATCATACACGTAATTTAAAGACTGTGGCTGTGATTTCAGCTGTATTTACATGTAAAATGATCATTCTGAGAGAAATTAGAGAAGAGAAAAAATTAGAAGCGACAGAATATCTTTCTTACTTTTTCTCTCACACAGCGCCCAGCCTCCGTCTGAGTAACAAACAACGAGAAGGATGATAGCGAGTGACAAGATAGTGATAATGGTCAAAACAATCAAATTAAATGAGCAAACAACAGAGATTAGTGACTGATCCTTGGCAACACATGCGCAGCTCATTCCCGTCTGTGTCAGCTGCCATGTGGGATAAATGTGCTTCTCCTACTCTCTGCCAGTCACTGAACAGAGCAGATGCAGAGAGAGACGCGCCTCTCACTCGTAGGGCAGTACTGGCAACTTCTGTGGAAAGTAGCTAAGCTTTGCCCAAAAAGTTGCTAGATTTGTCACAAGGTGCTTTTCTGAAAAATAAAGTCACTTAAGGGTCTGAAAAGTCGCTAAATCTGGCGACAGAGTTGCTTAGTTAGCAACATTACGTTGAGCAAATACTCAAGTACCCATGCACATCTTTAGTTCTTGTAGCTGATTGGCTAAGCCTTGTTCAAATCGATCCCTGTTTTAATACAAGATATGAAAAATTATTGCTCTGTTCATGGAATTCATGGAATATATTGCTTGGCAACAAAACCCTTCTGTTAACAAACTGTGTTGCTTGGTGGAAGAATAGTTTATTGCGATTGTTATTATTAATAAATCAGATTATACTGTTGGAACAAAATTTCCTCTCTCTGAAATCGTAACATTGCAGGAGAAGGAGAAAACTTTCTTAACTAGAATTTTTAGACTATTTCTATCGGCCTATTCATCACGCAGTATGAACACAATGCAAAGGGTAACTGAAACTTTCATACAGAGCATAAAAGTAAAAACGGAAAAATGGAATGGACCATGGTTTTTGCATGACTGACAATACATCGGACATTAGTCAGTTTTAACATATTGAATTTTTTTGCTGTTTTTCTTCAACTTTTCTCTCTTCATGTTAGTTTGTCAAGCTAACTTTGGGAGAAAAAATACATTTTAATCATATTTTAGTTGGAGCTAAGGCAACTAGCCTCATTGGCTTTGTTGATTATTTCATGATATTGCACTCACATTAAAGCACTCACGTTTCCTGCTAGCATGTTCATACATCTTGTATTAATACAAGATATGAAAAAATATTGCGCTGTTAAATTTTCTAGTGTATTGCTTGGCAACAAAACCCTTCTGTTAATAGAGTGTGCTGCTTGACGGAAGAATGGTTTATTTTGATTATTATTAATAATAAATTTTATTATTGCTCTGAAATGGTAACATTACAGGTGAAGGAACACAATGCAAAGGGTAAGTGGAACTTTCATACAGAGCATAAAAGTAAAACAGATAAAAATTGAACAGAGAAGGTTTTGCATGACTGTCTGTCCACCCCCTCATATCATTCTGAGCATGACACCATAACCATAAAATCACTCAAGAGCACTGTACACTGCAGCAGCTCTGTCTGTGTCATCATTTGTTTTGAACAGAATTTATGTATCTGGATGTATTTCTTTCCTATTGTATTACTTCATAGTTGAGCTATTGTAATGCTGAGCTGCTGTTTTAATGCACTGAAGCTACAAATGCACTGGGACTACAAAATGCTATGCTTTTAGTCACTTGAGGTGCAGCTCTCTTACCAAATCTGTCTTTTTTGGGGAAAGGGACTTCAGAGTGGCCCACGGGGGATTCCTTCTTATAGGAAATCCTTCCCTTAGCCATATCCTCTATGGGCTAAGCGTGTCTATGTGGCCTCTGGAGAGCCTGTCTGGGCACTGAGGGCAGCTTTGACTAAACTCAAGCCAACATGCAATGTCACAGTGATCATCATCTTTCAGAATATAATTCCCTTTCCCATGCTGTACTTTCTCAAGGCCTGCTAATAAAGCGCATAGAAGAGAAAAAGGAGAGCAGGGAGGAGGAGGGATTGTGGAAAATGGCTTGAGGTTTAGAATGTAGCCAACCTGTTTCTTTTCCATGGACTCTTTTGCAGGAATCTTTCCAAAGATGGTGGTTTGCTTACATAATCTAGTGCAATTAACTTCATATACAATAAATAATATAATAAAGAACATTTAAAGTTGTGTGTTTTGAGAGAAAACACACAACAGATTGCAAAAATAAGTAGTGGAAGGTTTTGGGGGAACAGCATGGAAGAAGCAATGCTGTTTGGTTTTGTTTGCCTCAAAATGTGTGGTTTCTTTGTGCAGCGTTGTTTTATTCATATAAATAGAGTCTATATGCTGTTGTCCAACATATACACTGCCTGTAGACACTTTGTCTTCTTTTTAGTAAGAAATATGAAAAACAACCTGCAGAAATTTTATCATAAAACAGCTATTCAGGAAAATGTGGGGTATAATTTGCTTCCACACTCAGCTTCATATTCATCAAAGTGTCTTGCTTGGTATGAAGTGCAGGATTTTCTTAAAATAATGATTGAATAATGGGAAATTCAAAAAATCAGAAAATGATTTTTCTGCACAATTTACACCTTGAGATATAAACAATCATTCAGATTAGTATGATATGAAGTGATACATTGTACAGATTCATTGTACCTACTGACATTGAGCTTACTTACAGTGGCAGTGATAGGAACCAGGTCACAATGTCTACAACACAAATACAGCCATTCTGTTCAAAGTGATATGAAATGTTAATAGTGGTAAAATAGTGGTAAATCTGAAAATAGTTTTCTTTAGGTTCTGTTTTGACTTATATAAAAAAAATCTCAAAACTGCCATTTTCATCCAAGTATTTCTTTTAAAACCATTTAATATAATAACTTTATATGGTGTAGCTTTAAAAGCTTTGAACTCTGGTGTTTGACATGGTTGTGAACAATTCTGACTCTGAGTTTCATTAGAATTGAGTATTTACATTAAACCACTATGAATGACTTTGTTCAAATCTTAGCCTTTTATATATGTGAATATCAGTGGATTTTCTTTTTGATAGACAGTGTAAAAGTAATGTGCCTCTGCTAACATCTGTGAAGCCCTCCTATTGATCTGTTTACATGTAAGGCAACAAACAAGTAAATCAAGCAAAAAGGTAATTGAGGTGAAAAAAACTGTCTAATTGGCTATTATTTGAAAAGAAGAGCCCAAAACCACTGAAAGCATCACATAAAAGTCAGTAACATTAGGGGTGAAGCTTTGATGGTGAAGTCTGTGTTGAGTGCAGTTAAAAACTAATGATGACTTTCACTTCTTAAAGTTCATGCCGGTCAGTCTCACTAACACCAAGAAGCAGATAAATCAGACAGAGCGTGGAGGAGAATGGCTGCTGAGGAACCTGATCTCCACTCTAACCTTTGTAGGAGGCTGTCAGTCAGCTCCTCATGCCTCCAGGTCGGGCTCTTTCTTTGTCTTTCATCAGGTTTGGCTCAAACTGGTCACGTCTCCTCTGGGCTCTGAAACAGAGGCGAAAAAGACATGCCTGAAGGCGTCTGTCGGCACGTCCACGCGTTTGTGTATTCTAGATATAATAACAACAGACCTGCCTTTTCGAATTTAGCCTCCCTCCCATTAACACATC